CAGAAATTTCACTTCTGGATACATACCCGAAAAAAAGTGAAAGCAAGGACTCAAACAGATATTTATACACCCACATTCATAGGAGCATTATTCACAATAGCGAAAACAGGTAATGAACCCAAGTGTCTATTAAGTGTCAAGATGAATGGATAAACAAATATGGTGTATACATACAATGGAATGTTATTCAGCCTTAAAAAGGAAGGAAATTCTGACATATGGTACAATAGGCATGAGCCTTGAAGATATTATGCTAACTGGGGTGCCTGGATGACTCAGTCGGTTAAGCGTCCGATTTCAACTCAGGTCATGATCCCACAGTTCAGTTCGGTCCGTGGGTTCGAGTCCCGCTTGGGCTCTGTGCTGACAGCTTCAAGATTTTGTCTCCCCCTCTCCCTGCCCCTCCCCCACTTGCGCTCTGTCTCTCTCAAAAATAAACTTTAAAAAAAATCTTTAAAAAGAAGATATTACGCTAAGTGAAATAAACTAGTCACAAAAGAACAAATATTGCATGATTCCACTTACATAGGTATCTAGGGTAGTCAATGCTTAGAGACAAATTGTAGAATGGTGATTGTCAGAGCTAAGGGAGAAAGAAATGAAGAGTTATTGTTTAATGAGGACAGAGCTTTAGTTCTGCAACATGAGAAGAGTTCTATGGATGGATGGTGGTGATAGTAGCACAACAACATGTATGTCTTTAACACTACTGAACTGTGCACTTAAAAATGGGTAAGATGTCAGGGCACCTGGGTGGCTCAGTCAGTTAAGCGTCTGACTTTGACTCAGGTCATGATCTCAGAGGTTTGTGAGTTCCAGCCCCATATTGGGCTCTGTGCCGGCAGCCCGGAGCCTGGAGCCTACTTCAGATTCTGTGTCTCCCCCTCTCTCTGCCCCTCTCATGCTCACACTCTGTCTCTCAATAACAAATAAACATTTTTTTTAAAAAAATTTTAAAGAAATGGTTGGGCAAATTATGGTATATTCATACTACAGAATATTATGGAATCATTGAAAATAGCTAGGTTTGTCTACATTCTACAGTATATTAAATAAAAATTAAGTTGCAGACAAAAATGTATCATTATCATTAGCAAATATTCAAATTGCATTGACAGTGTGTCACACAGGGTTCTAAGGGCCTTTCATATTTTTATTGAAATATAATTAGCATACAGTGTTATATTAGTTTCAAGGTACAATATGATTCAACAATTCTATACATTACTCAGTGCTCACCACAATAGGTATAGGGCTTTTTTTTTTCTAAGTTTATTTATTTATTTTGAGAGAGAGGGAGAGAGAGCAGGGGAGGGGCACAGAGAAAGGAAGAGAGAGAATCCCAAGCAGGCTTCGCACTGTCAGTGCAGAGCCCAATGTGAGGTTAGAACCACAAATGGCAAGATCATGACCTGAGCTGAAACCAAAAGTTGGATGCTTAACTGACTGAGCCACCCAGATGCCCTGGTGGGGAACTTTTTATATGTTATCTCATTTAATCCTCACAACAATCTTATGAGGTAAATACTATTATTGTCCCATTTCAAAGATGAAGAAGTCCAGGCATAGAGAAAATGAGTAATCTGCCCAAGGGTAAACAGCTAGTAAATGACTGGAGCCTGTAATGGAACCCAGATTCTCTGACCTTGGAGTACCATCATATAGCATACTGTCTCTAAACATAATTCTATGCTTGGGTATGTGCGAATATACGTATATCATGTATGTATGAATATATGTATATGGTATGTTTGTGGGTGTCTGTGTCTGTGTGTTTAATCATATAATATATCTCTAGACCTAGACATATAAACTTAGGGGAGAAATGGAAAGATTACCTACCGAATTATTAATAATGGTTATAATTCTCAAGGTTGGGTAGGATGACAGAAATAGGGGAAAGGATTTTCACTAATTTTGCTTGTGTGTATGTGTGATTATGTACTTGTGGATTTTAGGATCTTTCCAGTAAGCTTTTTTTCAACTTTTTTTTACTGCAGTAAAATATATATATAACATAAAATTTACTATTTTAACCATTTTTAACTGTACATTTCAGTGGCATTAAGTACATTCACATTGTTGTGCAACCATCACCACCCTCCATCCACAGAACTCTTCGTGTTATAAAACTGAAACTCTGTACACATTAAACAACAACTCCCCGTTTCCTCCTCTTGGCCAGCCCATGGCAACCACAGTATTACTATCTGTCTATATGAATATTGTACCTCCTATAAATGGAATCATACAGTATTTGTCTTTTTGTTACTGGTTTATTTCACTTAGCATAATTCCTCAAGGTTCATCTATGCTATAGCTTATGTCAAAATAGCCTTCCTTTTTCAGGCTGAATAATATTGTTATACATATATATCACATTTTGCTTATCCATTTATTCCTCAATGGACACTTGGGTTGCTTCCATGTTTTAGCTATTGTGAATAATGCTTCTATGAATATAGGTATACGAACATCTGAGTCCCGGCTTTCACTTTTTGGGGATATTTATCTGGAAGTAGAATTGCTGGATCATATGGTAATTCTATGTTTAATCTTTTTGAAGAACCACTGTCCTGTTTTTCCACAGTGGCTGTACTGGTTTACATTCTCACCAACAGGGTACAAAGATTCCAATTTCTCCACTTCCTCACTAACACTTGTTATTTTCTGTGTTTTATTTTAATATTTTTTAAGTTTATTTATTTTGAGAGAGACAGAGCGCAAGTGTGGGGGAAGGGCAGAGAGAGAGAGACAGGGAAAGAGAGAAAATCCCAAGCAGGCTCCACACCACCAGTGCAGAGCCTGACACGGGGCTCAAACCCACAAAACTGTGAGATCACACCCAGAGCCGAACCAAGAACTAGATGCCCAACCGACTGAGCCACCCATGCACTCCTGTTTTGTTTTTTTGATAGTAGCCATCCCAGTGGATGTGAGGTGATATTTCATTGTACTTTTGACCTGTAATTCCCTATTGTTTAGTGATATTGAGCATATTTTCATGTCCTTTATTGGCCATTTGTAGATCTTTTTTTGAGAAATGTTTATTCAAGAAATTTGACCCATTTTTGTTTGGATTTTTGTTGTTGTTGTTGTTGTTGTTGTTGTTGTTGTTGTTGTTGTTACTGAGTCGAGTAAATTTTGAAACATACATCCTCCCTGAGCCCCTCCATTAAAAACCTTATACCCAGCTATCTGTATACAGAATTTCATGACTCTAGACTTTTACTCACCACTTTCCTGGATCACAAGAGTCATTTAAAAGTTTCTAAAATTGTGGGTGCGTAGGTGGCTCAGTCCATTAAATGTCTGACTCTTGATTTCGGCTCAGGTCATGATCTCACTATTTATGGGATCAAGCCCCCAGCTGGGCTCTGCACTGACAGCTCAGAGCCAGCTTGGGATTCTTTCTCTTCCTCTCTCTCTGCTGCTCCCCCACTCGCTTGCATGCGCACACTCTCTCAAAATAAATAAATATTTTTTTTTCCTAAAATTGGACCTACTTTCCATATGCTTCACTACCACCACCACTGCTCCAACACCTGCACATCACTAATCCAATTTAATCAGCCTTTTTTTTTTCTCTTTCTGCCCATGGATTTGTAGGACAGTAGAATAGCATCCTTTACAGTGCACATATATTTAAGTGAAAACTTCTACTGAGATGCCTTCTCCCTTTCCTTCTCCAGCCTAAATTTTCCCAAATCCTTAAGAAATGGTTTTTGCTCAGCACTATCATTAACCAGTATGGGGAAGAAATGAAAGACTCCGTGGTCCTAGGAGGGGAGAGCAGGAGTACCTCTAGTCAAACCACAATGACCACGTGGAAACAACAAATCTAAGCCTTCTGAACCCCAAATGGCAACGTACAAGGCCAGCAATGGTGAGAACAAGGTTTGCAGAAACTTTGCCGGATAAGCGGATCATGGATTTCGCACAGTTCTGTGTAGAAAGGGCGCTGAGCCTTGCTGGAAAACTAGTCTTCCAAATAACCGCCAAGCAGCGCTGCCTGGCTTCCCCCGCGTCCCCAAGGTCTGACTCCTCCGCAGGACTGGTTTTCTCCCTGCAGCCACCGCCTTTCCCCCCAATCATGCTCTGCCTCTCGAGCCTAGGGCTTTGCTTAGTTCCTTCCGCCTCAAAGGTTTAACTCCAGTCCCACTCAACCTTAGATCGACCTCAACTCCGCTCTAAGACACAGTAGGGTTTCAAGAAATGCTGATAGGCCGAATGAATGAAGAAATGAAGAAATCATAAAATAGGAACTTTTATCCTCACGTAACCTGGCAGAAAGATGTGGAACTCTGAAGTCAGACAGATCGGGTTCCAATACCAGTTCTTCCACTTAGTTAGTAGCTGCTGGGTGAAGTTCGCTCCTCTGAGTGTTCAAAAAACGTTTGTTGAGCGAATGAATAAGATGTGTGAAAAATTAAATGAGATAATGCTTGTATCGTCCGCTGGCCACCATCAAGGCTCCACAGAACTACTACTCTCCCTACTATATACCATGTTCTGTATTTATTTAGGTGGACTGTGAGTTCCCTGAGGAAGGAGATGTTTGACTGGGTTCCGAACTCCCCAAGGTGCTGGGTCATATTTAAGTGACTAGAACGTAGATGGAGGACTGCAATTTTTTAAATGCTCCGGCCGAGGAAGATTACATATCCCGAATGGATCAAGCAGAGACCCCAAGTCGCATCATCCCTCGAGAAATCTCAGCCAGTTCGTGTATAAAAGGCCTACCATACCTGCAATTCGAGTCTGTGCGCCTTAGGACTCCACCCCACCCCGCGCCTCCATCCCGCTGAGCCCAAAGGCGGCCCACGACTTGCTCCTCCCAGGGGCCGGCGCCTAGGGAACACGCCTGCGCACTGCTCTCTCCTTGTCTCCTCCCTCCTTCCTTTCGTTGGTCCTTCGCGTTTCGAGCGCTGGGTCCTTTTTGTCCCCTACTCCGAGCGGTGTCAGCTTCCGTGCGGAAGCGGTGGCCGTGAGGGAAGAAGATGGCGGCGACTGTGGTGGCGTCGCCTGGTGCGGTGGCTAGTCGGGCCAACAAGCGCAGCGGCCCTGGGCCGGGAAGCGGCAGCGGCGCGGGAGCCAAAGGGTCGGAGGAGGAACCGCCGCCGCCCCTACAAGCAGTTCTGGTGGCAGATAGCTTCAATCGCCGCTTCTTCCCCATCTCTAAGGACCAGCCTCGGGTGAGCACCGCGCGCGGAAGCAGCCAAAGGGCCCGAAGGTGGCCGGGCTACAGCAGGTTATCCTTTAGGCTGCGTAGTGGGGAGTGCTCTGGAAGATGGGCACTCATGCTGACCACCTCAGGTTTGAAAGGCTTGTATAGGGCTCAATGTAGAAGTAGTGCTTGTGAGAAGTCTTCACACGGGGATTCGATGCCCCAGGAGGAGGCTGTGCTGCCTTTAACCGTGCAATGGAAAAAGAGATCCTTAGGTGAATGGGAACAGCACTTCCTTTTGCCTGCAAAAAGGGGGGTCATATGCCTGAAAAAAGAGCAGACCGGTAACAGTCTGATCCCATAGTAAGAGCTGTCTTGAATCCCGGAGGGTGTCCTTTTTTTCTTTCCAGGTTTTAATGACAGACGGTGCCATCTGTCAAAAGGAAGACAGAACTGGTTTAGTGGACGGTTGCCAGCAGACCCCGTATTGTCTAGATACTGGGGAATTGGACTGAGCTAGTCTTAGGGATTGCAGGGTCACTCAGCAGTCCCTAGTTCAAAGACAGCTGCATTCGGATAAAAAAAAATCCTAACTTCCCACACCTCCCAAAAAGCCTAATGGCTGTTCATTTTGGACAAATGATTGGGATGGCCAGAAAGAGATCTGGAAGGAAATTTTATGGAGGAAAGGGCCTTATCACTGCTTACGTTTCTGGAGATAAGATTGATTTTTAGTATTATCCTTTGCCAGAGTGGCCTGTTGTCCTGTAGCAGCTGTGTGTCTGTTGCTAGGCAAGCAGATTCCATGCTTGCTGTTACATTCTCATCCTAGGTTCTCATGCTTAGAGCATGCCATGAACATCAAAGGTAGGGGCCTGATTTCTTTTAACTTTAGAAGATAAAGTAAAATGGTAGCGTTTGGGAACACTGGTAGGGGAGTGAAAATTGTGGTTAAGTGGAGGAAAGAATAGTGCCCAGCGGACCTTTCTGGATTCAAAAATTAAGACTTTTTTCATCTCCTGCCCTTCAGGTCCTCTTGCCCCTGGCCAATGTGGCACTAATTGACTACACTCTGGAATTTCTGACCGCCACAGGTGTACAGGAAACCTTTGTTTTTTGTTGCTGGAAGGCTGCTCAAATCAAGGAACATTTACTGTAAGACTCTGCAACTTTTCTTTCCATATTTCACCATTTTTTCCAGTTTCCTTAGGATGGTTGTAACTAAGTAAGGAGAAATTGTGAGGGGAAAAAATGTGTCTGTTTAGATTCCATCATAAGGACTAAGGGCATTCTCTTCACCTATCAGGAGGTGAGCAGCTGAAGTTGTGACAAAGATTAAAGAATAACATTTGGATTTTTTCTAAATCTCATTTATAAAGTTTGATCTTGTTGATTTTGCTTTTATTTAAAGGCTCCAATATGGAAGTCATGACAGAAACATCTTTGTTTTGCCACTGAGCTTCTAAATATTGAGCTCTTCCTCATCTTTGTATTCACAGTGCCTAGCTTAGTACAAAGCATGTAGTAAATAAACACTTAACCAAATGTTTGGTGAAATCTTCTTGAAAAAGAGTGAATCTTAGGATTTATGGAAGTTTACGGCATAAAGACTAGGATATTAGCGTGGTGTCCTTTAGACAGCTCCTAAATTTGGTTTGGACTTTGCAAGGAGAGAAGTGGCATGGAAAGTGTGTTCCCAGGATACTTTGTATACTCTTAAGTCTCAGCAGGATTTTGAATTCAGATCCATGTTTGGGGACAGGTGTCAGGGTATGGAGAGGAAATAACTATGTTTCTCTAACCCATAAAACAAGACTGGTGACACAGGATGCTGAAACCATTCATTATAGTTCATAAATCTCTTTGAAGTAGAGGATGCTGGCAGGAACCCAGAAAAGCTGTAGAGAAGGTGTGTGAATGTTGAATGGGGGAGAAAAATAGGGAAGCTCTACGCAATCTTTATGCTTGATTTGCTCGTTCCCCTCATCCGCCTTCCTTTAGGAAATCCAAGTGGTGCCGCCCTACATCCCTCAACGTGGTTCGAATAATTACATCAGAATTATATCGATCACTGGGGGATGTTCTCCGTGATGTTGATGCCAAGGCCTTGGTGCGCTCTGACTTCCTTCTGGTGTATGGGGATGTCATCTCAAACATCAATATTACCAAAGCCCTGGAAGAACACAGGTCAGGATGGGAAGATGGTAAGGACAAAGGGTTTGGAACCAGCAGAGCCCAAAGACTGCTATTTTGCTGCTCTCTCCTTCCTGTCCTTTATAGATTGAGGCGGAAGCTAGAAAAAAATGTATCTGTGATGACAATGATCTTCAAAGAGTCATCCCCTAGCCACCCAACTCGTTGCCATGAGGACAATGTGGTAGTGGCTGTGGATAGTGCCACAAACCGGGTTCTCCATTTCCAGAAGACCCAAGGTCTTCGACGGTTTTCTTTTCCTCTGGTATGTGGGTATCTGGGGTCCTTGAGATGGGAAAGTGACAGGCTTTAGCAGGAGACACGTTGAAGTGCTTGTAACTTCTCCCTACAGAGTTTGTTCCAGGGCAGTGGAGATGGTGTAGAGATTCGCTATGATTTACTGGACTGTCACATCAGCATCTGCTCTCCTCAGGTGAGCTTTTTCAGGGCCAGAGCTGCATATCCAAAGAGTAAAACTCTGAGGTATGTTATTGCTCCTTTAGAAGGCCAGGGTATATTTCTTCTCCCTTTTTCTCTTATCAGTTCCACAGTAAACGGGTGCTTCATCTTGACCCCAGGATCCCATTGGGAGCCTTTTTGGGATTCTGGCCCTTGTCCAACTGTCATAGGGTCTGATAGGTCTCTAGAGGCTTATCTTTGCTTCCAGAGAATAGCACTTACCATGGTGCCACCCAACATCCCCCCCACAGGTGGCTCAACTCTTTACAGACAACTTTGACTACCAAACTCGAGATGACTTTGTGCGAGGCCTGTTAGTGAATGAGGAGGTAAGAAAAGGTTCCCATGCCTCTTTAGAAGAGGGCTGTGATTTTATCCCATGCTGATAATTTTTGGTCCTCTTTTGTGTTTTATTGAGCCTTAGGAGTAAGAAAAAGAACTAGGGGGTGAGGCGGGGGGGAGAGGGAAACAATATACAAAGAAACATCTTGACCATTTGGCTAGGACATTGAAAGGCAGAGGGGAACTTAAAGTTAGAAAAGAATTGTACCTGGTTGTGTTCTTCCTCTCTTACTTACTTAGGTGACCGCCCTTTCCTTGTCCCCTTTCAGATCCTAGGGAACCAGATCCACATGCACGTGACAACTAGGGAATATGGCGCCCGGGTCTCCAACCTACACATGTATGCGGCTGTCTGTGCTGATGTCATCCGCCGATGGGTCTACCCACTCACGCCAGAGGCAAACTTCACTGACAGCACAACCCAGAACTGCACTCATTCCCGGCATAACATTTACCGAGGGCCTGAAGTCAGCCTAGGCCATGGCAGCGTCCTGGAGGAAAATGTGCTTCTGGGCTCTGGCACTGTCATTGGCAGCAATTGCTCTATTACCAACAGTGTCATTGGCCCTGGCTGCCACATTGGTGAGCACAGGTGGGGAAATCAAACTGGTCACCCTAGGAACAGGAATGTGGGGAGCCCCATGTCTTCAGAGAAAGAGAGGGATCATTCCTGAGAAGGAGGAACTAGTGTGGCTACCTTAGTAAAGGACAGAATAGGGATGTGAAATTTGTGGCCTTTAATTTGTGGCCTGTGAGCCTCTTACTGGGTGACCCTTCACATTCCAGAGTACCTTATTCACATTCAGGACCAAGTGGATAATTAACATGCAATAATAACATCTGTTTGGTGCACTGCAGTTTTACAAAGGGGTTTTGCGTGCATTGTTTCATTTATCCTCACAAAAACCTTGTGAAGTGAGTATTATTTATTCTCAGTTTATAGCCAAGCAAACAGGCTCAAAGAGGTTTATCTCCCTCAGGGTTATAAGCTAATGAGAGGCAGTGCTAGGACTTGAATGTGAGTATTCTAAGTACAGCATTCTTTTTACTCTACCATTACTACCTGGTTGCTTCTTGGTAAGTCACTTTGGTTATAGGAATGTGTTGCTTTTAATGGAACTGGCCCTTTAAAAGAACAACAATAAAATTCGAATTCTAAAATGTACAAGAAGAGGAGCAGGCATCTGGCTGGCTTAGTCGACAGAGTACGGGACTCTTGATCTCGGGGTTGTGAGTTCAAGCCCTGCATTGGGTGTAGAGATTACTTAAAATCTTTTTTTTTTTTTTTAATTTTTTTTATTATTATGTTTATTTATTTTGAGAGAGAGACACACACACAGAATCCGAAGCAAGGCTCCAGGCTCTGAGCTGTCAGCACAGAGCCCGATGTGGGGCTCGAACCCATGAGTGGGAGATCATGACCTGACTCCAAGTCGGATGCTCAACCGACTGAGCCACCGAGGCGCCCCTTAAAATCTTTTTTAAAAATTGAAATGTACAAGAAGAGATGGAAAAATTGAGTTCTACTTCTAGACATGGATATGATTCTAACAAGGATCTTGAGTTCAAAGGGGTCCCCAGAGATCTTGAAGGTTCTCAGGTACTTAAGTGCAGTATATAGTCTGTGATTGTTGCAAACCTAGTGGAGGATGGTCGTGGTAAACACTTCTATTCTCAGGCTGGAGCTTAGAAGGGGAGAGGGTGTTTCTGGTGAATTAGGGATGCAGTATCAGAGCTGGGTGGGAGTTGTGCTGCTATCAGTCAGCCCTGTCCTCTAGGAATGGCCCTGGTCTGGAGCCCTGAGTGACCAGGAATGCTTCTTGTCCTGAGCCAGGTGATAACGTGGTGCTGGACCAGGCCTACCTGTGGCAGGGTGTCCGAGTGGCTGCTGGAGCACAGATCCATCAATCTCTGGTCTGTGACAATGCTGAAGTCAAGGAACAAGTTACACTGAAGCCACGCTGTGTCCTTACTTCCCAGGTAAGACCATCTCCATACTGCACACAAGCCCCAAACTGGTTGGTGGTCATGTTGAGCCAGAGGGGCCTTACGTCCACCCATGTTCCAGCCTGAATTGAGAGTCCCAATCCAGTGGATTCTTTTTTTTTTTCTTTTTTTTTTTTTTGAGAGAGAGCACGTGTGCTTGCACACACACAAGTAGGGGACGGACAGAGAGAGAGGGAGAGAGAATCCCAAGCAGGCTCCACACTGTCAGCGTAGAGCTGGATGCAGGACTCGATCCCATGTGAGATCATGACCCAAGCCGAAATCAAGAGTTGGAGGCTTAACTGACTGAACCACCAGGCAGCCCCCCTTGTTTTTAATGCTTATTTATTTATTCTGAGAGAAGCTTTGTGCAGTGGCAGTATCGTAGCCAATGAGGTTTATCTGAGGCACGATTATTGCTAATTGAAAACTATTCTGAGAGAGAGCGCGAGCACACGGGGCAGAGACGGGGAGAGAGAGCAAATCCAGTGGATTCATTTATCTTCTACTTAGTAAAAATAGTTGCTCATTGTCAGGATGTACCTTTTCCCAACACACTAATGGATCTGTGCCACCTACTCTTTTTTGGTCCCCTAGGTGGTAGTGGGCCCAGACATCACGCTGCCTGAGGGCTCGGTGATCTCTTTGCACCCTCCAGATGCAGAGGAAGATGAGGATGATGGCCAGTTCAGTGACGATTCTGGGGCTAACCAAGAAAAGGAGAAAGTGAAGCTGAAAGGTGTGAGGCTTAGCAGGTGTGGGGCATCTGTGTGTCTCTTTGCCCTGTGGGAAAACCAGTATTTCCTCCTAGAGTGATTGTGTTTCTCATGTGCCTTCACTAAAGATCAATGCTTTTCCAGGTTACAATCCAGCAGAAGTCGGAGTTGCTGGCCAGGGCTACCTCTGGAAAGCTGCAGACATGAACGTGGAAGAGGAAGAAGAACTACGGCAGAATCTATGGGGTGAGCTAGGCCTTATTCCTGTCACCACCCCCCCCCCATACACACACACACACTCCTAA